GACCATTTCATTCCTGGAGCTTTCGCTCCCCACCATCTAAAAATAGAGCCAAGGAAACATGTTTAATTCATTACACATGACCCAGAGAGGCTCTAAATGCAGCGAGTGATGTGTGTTAGGATTTTGTTTGTGCCACAGAACCGGTTCCTATTTGCATACTGTATTTGCAGAAAGTTCTTTTGCAAAGACGATGGTCTGATCTTGGTCCAGATTATTTGAGAAAGAGAGGGAGGGAAGGAAGGAGGGAGGGGGAGAGTGAGAGAGAGAGAGATCAATTTGGAAGCCCAGATCCAGGTTGAGACTTGGAAAAACCAAAGTAAGCTTTCCCCACCTGAGAAAAAAAAAGACAAAACCTGAAAAAAAAGATTAAGACAAAGTCCCGAAGGCGCTTTTTCCAAGAGGCAACTGGACTTTCTGGTTTTTCTTTGAAGACATTTCACTTCTCGTCCAAGAAGCTTCTTCGGCTCTGACTGGATGGTGGGGAATGGAAGGATTTATACTCCTTGCAGACAGCTGGTCATTTGCATTCTTTTCAGAAAGTCATTGAGGCCACTTGGAGGTTTGTCTGTGTTCCCCAACAGCCTGCACCTGTGTTCAACAGTGAAGGGACACAGAGCAGAAAACATCCTACAGAAACACAGTCCTTTCAGCAGTTCCGAGAAGGCTCCACCCCCACTTACACCACTCAGGACACAGATAAACCTCCAGGTGGCCTCAACCACCCTCTAAAAGGATGCAAATGACCAGCTGTCTGCAAGGAATACAAATCCTTCCATTCCTCACCATCTAATCAGAGCTGATGAGAAGCAAAATGTCTTTAAGAACAAACAAACAAACCAGAAAGTCCAGTTACCTCGTGAAGAGAAAGCACCTTTGGGACAACCCTGATGACCAGGACGACTGAGAATCTCCATAGATAAAGATAAAGGTTTTCCATCTTTATTTTTGACCTTTATTTTGACCATTAAGAGGAGTTCCATTAACTTCCCCCCACTCTCAATCCTCCAAAGGATCACAGCAAACCAAGGATGTTGCGAGCTCCGGAGAGTTGTCTGTTGAGACCAAATTCCCCCAATGTCAAGAGAAAAACAAAACAAAACAGAAAACCCTTTCCTCCATTCAAGCTCATTAGCAAATGGACGTGAAAGCTTCAGTGTCAAAGACCACAAAATGAGGCTGTCCTAACAGTGTCCCCAAATAGTGAGGCACAGAATCATAGAGCTGGAAAGGATTTTGGAGGTCTTCTAGACCAGTAGTTGCCAACCAGTAGGACAGGATCCACTAGTGGTCCATGAGAAAATGTTGGTGGTCCGCAGAGAAATGTCACCCCCAAAGCACCCCCAAAGCAATTAACCCAGGCTCCACGGGAACACAAGGTTGCGCCGCCGACATGGCCTGCGGGAACACAAGGCTTGCATCCTTAGTATTGCAAACAACACGAGGCAGTGAGGGGAGGGGGGAAAGGGCAGTGGGTGGGGGGAACTTGCCCCACTCACCCCACGCGCTGTCCTGACCACCGGGCTGCTTCTGTCTGCTTCTTTCTTCTGCTGCTTTTGGCTGCACCCAAGGAAAGCAGCCAAAGTCTTTCTTTCTCTCCCCCAAACTCCTCCAGAAATGAGTCTTTGGGACCCTGCAAGGCCTCCTGCTCCAAGAGGCTGTGTCAGCGTGACAAGTCTCACAAAGACTCATTTCTGGCGGAATTTGATGGAGAGAAAGAAAGACTTCTGCTGCTTTCCTTGCATGAAGCCAAAAGTCTCTCTCTCTCTCTCTCTCTTTCCCTCTGAGAACGGAGCTGGGGACAGTATCCTGCGATCCCAAATAAAGAATGATTGATCAGTAATAAAACAGGGTGGGAAATTTTCCTGCAGATTTTTGGGGGGATTTTCCCAGGGTCTCTGGTTTGTGGGATTTAAAATTATGAGTTTGCTGGTCCCTGAGGTCAAAAAGATTGGTGACCCCTGTTCTAGTCCAACCACCTGTCCAAGGAAGGAGCCCTTATTCCTTTCCACATGGCAGGACACTACTCTCCGTCCAGCTCTGTCCTCATCTTGGTGAATGGCTGCTATTTTACTGCCCTTTTAAGACTCTCATTGATTTGCTGAATTTAAAGGAGCTTGTTTGGACAATCGCTTTTATCAAACTGTTCTTAGAGTTGGTTGTTAGCCTTTTTTTTTAGGGGGTGTGTGTTACTCTGCTCCAAATGTCTTCAGAAGGAAAGGCCATATAAACATGAAATGATGTTCTTCTCATCATGATATGCCAAAATATTTACTTTCAGCCCATCTGCCTACCCTAACAGTAACTTGACTCATCCATGAAAGCCTTTGCTTGTGCAGCCAAGACAAAACATCCAAAGTGCATTCAGTGTTAATGTATCACGGGAACTGTAAGATGGTTAAGTAAATTCTTCTGCATTGGTCCAAAGTGTTCAATCATTATGAATATCTCTTTGTCTTCCTTGTTCCTCCTTAGTTTTTCACCTTCCTTCTCGTCATTTTTGCTCTTGAAGTGGCTGCTGCCATCTGGGGATTTTCAAACAAAGAAAAGGTAGGAGAAACTTATACTGTATTTATCCTTCAGAAATTTTGCAGTGTGTCCTCATGGTTTGGGGTCTGGGTGTGGGGAGCCACAGTTCAAACGGATGACAACAATCAACCAATGGAACAGAAGTTGCCCTCGGAAGTTGTGGGAGTGCCATCAGTTGAGACTTTCAAAAAGAGATTGGACTCCCATCTGTCAGAAATGGTGTAGGGTCTCCCGCTTGGGTGGGGGGTTGGACTAGATGATCTACAAGGTCCCTTCCAACTCTGATGATCTGTATCTAACAAAACTCTAAAGGCATCCAAAATTGACCGGATCAGTTGTGTTATTCTGGTTTACATTGTTTTTCTGACTCAAGGCAGCCAGAAACAAATATACCTCTCCTGATAACTTCAAGAATTTATTGTGTGTTGGATGAGGAAGAAGGGAGAAGGTGTAATTGCTCCTTCACTAAACTAGACCTGAGAGATACATATTATAGAGTATGGATATACTGGGCATTTCGGGGGAGGGGTTCCAGGCCATTTTCCAGGCCATTTTGGGGCCCTTTTCCAGGCCATTTCCAGGCTGTTTTTGGGACCATTTCTGGGCCATTTTTGGAACGTTTTCCAGGCCATTTGTAGGCTGTTTTCCAGCCATTTTTCCAGCCATTTTCCAGCTGTTTTTTTTGGGCCATTTCTCCAGCCATTTCCAGGCGGTTTTCAGACCATTTTCCAGGCCATTTCCAGGCTTTTTTCAGACCGCTTTTGGGGTGTTTTCAGGCCATTTTCCAGGCTGTTTTCTGGTGCTCTGGCACCTGCAAAGACCAGCTGGCTAGCGTGCATGTGTGCACCAGCAGAAGAGCAGCTGGCAACGGCACACATGCCCAACGGTGCATGCCACCTCTGACACATGTGCCATTGTTTCGCCCTATACCATTCCGGACACATGGCTGCCTGATCTCTTCTTAAAAACCTCCCGTAATGGAGCACCCACAACTTTTGATGGCAAGCTGTTAATTGTTCTCACTGTCCAATGTAACACTGAGGATGTTACCTAGTATGGTAAGGAAATGTCTGCAAGAAAACAATCGAGGTCAGAGCGCAACCAAGGACCCCTTCGTTTTAACCCTCAGCTACAATTCTTCTCCTGTATCTTCTGTTTTGCCAGCTCCCTAAAGAAATGCAGAGTTTCTATGACACCTTATTTGAGAAAAGGAAAGACACAAAAATAAAAGGCAGTCTGAGGGCCTTCCATACCGCGGTAAGTTGATGTTTGATTTGCATCTTTAATCTTAATTCTGGGCAGGGTGTTTCATAGAGAGCAGTTTCAAGGGAAGGCCAGATTAAAATTGTTCTCATTCCAACACCCCTGGTTCTTGGTTTCTACACACACACACACACACACACACACACACACAGCTTCTAGGTGCTCACTAAGAAAGAATTGTTCAAAATGACCATCAGAACATTAGCATTTCATGTATTATTATTAACACGCTCTGATGCTAAGGAGTTCCACTCCTCCTCCCCACCTGAAAAGAAATCTCTTCCAAATGCAAAACGCAAGCAGAGGAGTTTCAGTGTCATTATCAGTTTCACAGCACCAAGCAGCTTTAGTACAGAACAGTTGAGCTAAGCCACGCCCAGGCTCCTTGCTGTCTCCTTCTTGCTTCACACAGCAAATACTGCTTCAGTTTCCAAACAGCCCTCAACTGTCTCACACACTGACAGGATGCTAGCCAGATGAATACCGATGGATGCTGGTAGGCAGAGGCAGAATTTTTTCTCTCCTTATTTTCCTCCCCCAAAACTAAGCCCGATCACATAGTATAGCCAAACATGGGTGCCCAGCTAGTAGTAATAATAACTAGAGGTAGGGGAAGGGTGCCTCAGTCAGGTTTATATCGTCAGTGCATTATGGATGCCCAGTCACATTGGTGCAGAGTTGTTGGATGGGTGAGGAGATGAAAAATGATGTTCTTGGACTTCGTTTCTGGACAAACAACAAGGGTCATGAACATCAGCTCGCAGTTAAATGGCATGTCCCAAAATCCCGTATCTCAAACCACATCAATAATAAACAGTGCAATTGGGAAGGAACTAAAATCATTGGCCATACCACAAATGTGAATTTATTGAAGCCTGGTATAGTCTACCAAAGGAGCAATTAACATGCATATTGATCTCAATCCAGCATATGAATACGTAAGAAACTAGACCATCTAGAGAACCAATCGGCTGCTCAGAATTTAAATAAAGCTCCAAATGAATCACACAACCAACTGACTACACTGACACACAAAACATTGATAAGTTAAAGAGGAATGGGGCCAGAAAATCCTTGTTCTGTCCTCACTACACATTAGTCTGTGTGCAGCCCACCTATCCTCCAATAAAACAGATCGTGTGCATAGATCTTGGTGCTTTATTGGAAGAACAGGGTATGGTGAAACTGGGGAAAATACGGATACATACAATGAGAATCAAATACAAGATAGGCAGCATTTGGTTACTGCTGAACATAACAATAAGTTATAAGCATCTCACCAGCGATGCTTTGTGTGCGGGATGTGGGTTTGTCCTTGGTTGACCATGTTCCACAGATTAAGATGGATTCTTCTTTGTGCTTCTGCCTTCTCCAAATGCTAAAGGAAATGGAGTCTGGCTTCCCAGCATGCACTTGTTTTGAGAATGCGGGCTGATGCGTAAAGGGGTTGAACAAATTTCAACCCCTTTACCCAGCTTCAAACAATATACTTGGTATTTGTCTCCCTGGCCACTAGATGGAGCTAGAGAGAAACAACAGTATATAAAGATTGTTTGTAAGGGCATATTTGTCCCTCTGGCCACTAGATGGGGCTAGGGAATAGCAACAGTATATAAAAGTTATATGCTGGGGCATGACAATCCTGCTGATGCCATTACCTAGTCTGGTGATGAAATGTTCAGAAATTAAATTGAAAAAGGTTGGAGAGCAAACCCCTGCCAAAAAAACAACTTATGTGTTTCTTTTTGCTGTAGTTGAATTGCTGTGGTCCGTCTGGTGTTCCCGAGCCTGATTATCAGGATACCTGTCCTGAAAACCCCAAGGTACGTATCGGGGCAGAAAGTGTAAATTTGTATTTTGACTTCTCGATATCATGCGTTGTCAGATATATATATTTTTTGTTGGTTTGTTTAAAGAAGCAAATTGTATTTTGTGCTTAGAAGATCCAAGGATCTGAGTGCTAATTCCACTTCCCAAAGCTGTCAAGGTCTTTGTGCGTGTAGGAACAAAGGTGGTTGTGAATGAAAGTGTCCATTGCAATTTGTAAGAATTGTAAGCAAGGGTTCGCAAACAGAAGGGGGAAGGTTTAATTCCCATCTTCCTCAAAATAATCCATCTATTCCAAGGGCAACTCTCCCCGCCCCCCCCCCCCCCCCGGAACCGGGCCCAAGGGAGGGATCCCTGGGAGGGGAGGGGGGGGGCGGGTGGGGCCAGCCAGAAGTGGGATTTGGGCGGTTGTCTGAACTGCACAGAATCTTAGCTAGGGGCTCTCCCGGACCCCTGAGAACCTCCAGCAGCCCACCCCACCCCTGCCCCTGAGGTTTATTGTCATCTAGGATGAACATCTTCAGAGTGGAGACTGGGTGGGAAATGCCACTTCTTCAATCTTTGAATGGGAAGGTTTGTTGGAAGTTTTGTTTCAAAGTCCAGTCTGGGAGAGCGAAAGAGAGATGAGAGATCAATGTTTTAGCGTTCTGCTTCGTTCTGGATGGGTTGAACCCCACCTTGGATGCGGTGCCTGCTTGTACCTTCTCTTTCCTATCTTTCTCTCTCCCCCTCTTTCTCTACTCACTTCCTGTCTTCCTCTTTCTTTCTTTCTTTCTTTCTTTCTTTCTTTCTTTCTTTCTTTCTCTTTCTCTTTCTCTTTCTCTTTCTAGTTGTCTGTCTCTCTTTCTCTCTCCTTTTTTCCTATCTTTCTCTCTCTCTCTCTCTCTCTTACTTTCTGTCTTCCTCTTTCTTTCTCTCTCTCTTTCTTTCTAGCTGTGTCTGTCTCTGTTTCTCTCCTTCTCTTTCCTTTCTCTCTCCCTCTCTTTCTCTTACTCACTTTCTGTCTTCCTCTTTCTTCCTCTTTCTTTTTCTTTCTAGCTGTCTCTGACTCTCTCTTTCTCTCCTTCTCTTTTCTATCTTTCTCTCTCCCTCTCTTTCTCTTATTCACCTTCTGTCCTTCTCTTTCTTTTTGTCCTTCTTTCTTTCTCTCTCCCTCTGTCTCTTTCTCTCTCTCTGTCTCTCTTTCTCAATTCAAAAAGTAGGGCAGAAGAACCGATTTAAGTGCGGCCAGAACACGGAACTCTTAAGCAAGAGTATTACAAAAATGTCATCCAAAATATTTTGAGTGTGCAATTAAATCAAAGGATACAATTCTTTTTTCTTCCAGCCGTGCCCTGTAGCTATTGATGACTTCTTCAAAAACAAGTTGAATCTGATTGCAGCTGTTGGCATTGGAGTTGCTGTGGTGATGGTAAGTTGTGACCGTTGTATACCTTTTGGATCCTGATTTAATGACAAATAGGGCATTTGTTTTATAAAAAATACGTAAAGTGATCAAGCGGAACACTACAAGCAGTGGTGGGATTCCAAAACGCGTGCTACCAGTTTGTGGGCTTTGCGCACGCAGCACTCAAAGAACACCTGAGTTGTTTTTTTAGCTCAGCTGAGGTGCGGCAATCCAGTCTGCCATGCAAATCAGTTGAGCTAAAAATCAATAGAATAAAGGACAGGAAAGAGCAGGGGTGGACAAGCGGGGCCAGCCAGGGGTGGTATTTGCCGGTTCTCCAAACTAGCTGAAATTTCCGCTACCAGTACACCAGAACCGGTCCACGCTGGCTGAATACCACCTCTGACTACAAGCATCAAAAGAAAGAAGGAAGGAAAGAAAGAAAGAAAAAGAAAGAGAGAGAGAGAGAGAGGAAGGTGAAGGAAGGAAGGAATATCATAAACAAATTAACACTAGCAAAAGCTACTATTATTTTATCTCTTTTGCTATTATTTTACCTTTTTAATGTTGTAAGCCACCAAGAGTTACCCTGTAGTAAGATGAATGGCCGATAAATTTAATAAATAATAAATAAAAATAAAATAAGATTGCTATCATCCCCTCCGTCCCCAATCCTTCTCTTCTCTTCATTAGGCTTAGACATACCTAGTTCCTAAATTCCTATTTCCCTGAATAGAACTTGATTCTCCTCTCAGGTGTGGCTCAATTATGCTACAACTAAACATGAATGCAACCTTCTTCCAAATTTTGAGATTGTTGGTTTAATAGTTATGGTACCATTTATTTTTATGCAGTAGGCTCTGCCAAAGAACTCTGTAAATATTTACTTTAAACTTTAAGGACCAAGTCTTGAAACGTTGAACTGGCTACAGTTGTTTCAAAAACATGTATATAAATTCACTGGTTTGTCTTGCAATTCTTCAATATATATATATATTATACATACATATACATATACACATACACATACACATACACATACATATACATATATATAAAAGCAAAATACCACTCACACGTCATCACAAAATCTCCAGAACCATAAAGCGTACAAACTTGAAATTTGGCACATATGTTCCTCTAGGCTTCTAGGTGCTCACTAAGAAAGGATTGTTCGAAATGACCATTAGAGCATTAGTATGTCCTATATTATTATTATTATTATTATTATTATTATTATTATTATTATTATTA